TAAGATGGTGAAAGACTAAAAGCAAGCACTGAGCCTTTTTTGTGAATTACAGTCTTTCTGCTGTATCTGTCTCAAAAAAAACCATGGACATCAAGAGTTAAGAATGAAGTTTGAGGAAAAATACTCATGACGTATGATTTGAAAATGCTGACAGGAGTTGACTATTGTATATGTTTAGAATTTGATTATCCATTGAAATTACCCATTAAGGAGCATGTACAGCACTCTGATTGGCCATCTTTTTGAATTGAGAGTCATTGTTCCCAGAGCTATGCAGACATTCTAGCTCTCTGTTCCTAGACAGACACTAGCACACAAGCTTTTGCCAAGGGACGAATGAAATAAGGAACCTCTATGAAAGAACTGCAAACCCAGGAGAAGGGTAAAACCTGCACAATTCTTTCACAACTGACAGTGATACTCTACATGGGAAATAAGTAAGCATCCATATTCAGTTTGAGTTGCATCCGTTTTTATAGTGAAGCTGGATTTGGATCTCTGTTTTTGAAGTGGGGTAGATGATTAGGAGTAAGAAAAGAAGAGAGGGTACAGGGCAGCCAGAACAGCATTTTACTGCTGCAGTGCAGCTCATTTAGCAGAATGGGTAAGTGTCCTTTTTAACATACACAGAGTCTGTGTGGCACCATCTGGTTAACTAGAGCTGTGACAGGAGAGAAGGAACAGTCAGTCCAGCTCGCTTTACCAGTCTTACTGGTTGTGGCCTTGATCAAGGCAGGGACAGAGGGCATATCTACCTGTGCATCAAAGAGGAGAGGTGGCACTGTTGAAGATTAAAAAGCACATGTGCTCAGTCAGGTAGTGCACACAGCCCCGACATTTGTAATGTATGCAAGGGATGAGTTTCTAACACATACAGAATACACCAACCCCCTCAGCAAGGGACAGCTTAACAGATGAGACTATGGGTTGTTCGGTTAACACTCATTCTCTGTAAGAGGTACTATAGAAATAAAGCCTCATGAGCATTAGGTAGTTCAAAATTGCAACTAGGAGAAACATAGTCCAGTGTGACAGGCAAAGTTGAGCACATCTTAAGTTGGTTAGTGATTATTATAGAATCTTTAACCACTCAGTCAATAAAGGTGCTTCAGAGATAAACTTTTCTAAGAGCAGGAGAGAACAATTCACAATTTTCCCACAACAAAAGTCTCTCAAGTTACTGAGTAAGTTGCCAACGCCTTTAATACTGTTCCCTGGGGCATCTGATACATTCTGAGATTACATTGATATTACTGCAGAATCCAGAGCTGTTGCTCTGCACTTCTGTATCAGCAATGAGATCAAAAGACCTTGAACGACACAGGCTTTGTCTGTAGCAAAGCCTGCATGGTTTAACAACAAAAAACTGTACCTGTGATATAAAAATCGCTGTGCCAGCTGCACGTCCTAAGTTCTGTCCATCATCACAGACTTCATTGTATATCAGCCTCTTCCCTAAACTTAATAAGCACATATGATTTTTTTTTTCTGTAGCACAGTAACTGTTCAAGACATCCAAAACCACCTGTCCCAAGGTCATGTAGCCATCGTCCTAGTGAATGCAGTTCTGCTGCTGTGTGATCTGTGCTCAAGTCCTGTGAAATACTGCTGCTTCCTCCCCATTGGACAGAAGTGTTTCTGCAGGAATCCTGACTACCAGGGCCATTTCATTGTGTTATGTGGCTACAACAAAGCCTCAGGGATTATTTACTACAACAACCCTGCCTATGCTGACCGTGAGTAGCCTGTTCCTTTTGCGTGGATTCTCAGCTACCACAGTACCAACATGTTTGTAATACAGAGCCACAGCTGGACTTCCCTAATACTGTGCATTTCAAGCATCACTAACCAATTTGTCACAAGGGGTTTTGCAACACTAATTAAATTAGTGCTGCATTTTGTGCTGTGATTTACTTGAGGCACTGAGATATGCATTCTAGCAAACTTGTTCAGCTTTCAGTTTGGTTAGTCTGAGACCCTGAACTGTTCCTATGTGTAGAATATAACAGCATTTACAGCATTACTTCAGTCAAGACCATCTTTGCCATCAAAAGACCTACCTGAGCACAGCTGTAACCTGAGCTGATGGGTCTGCATACTAACTCTGCAGATGCTGCTAGACAGAGTGTAAGAGCTTTTCAGAGGCAAATTCTTCTGAACTGTTAATAACACACTGTTCCTCCTTAACAGGAACGTGCTGCACCAGCATCAGTAACTTTGAGGAAGCCAGGACAAGTTACGGCACCGATGAAGACATTCTTTTCATCTATACAGACAGCTGACATCCACCCCTGGTACCTCTGGTCCTTTCCAGTGCAGCCGGCACGGCCGCTGGCTGCTTGTCTCAGGACTGCCCCTGCAGAGACCTCGCTCCTGAATTGCAGTGGGATCTTAAAAAAGGGAGGCTTTATAGACATTAATAGGACTATATTACAATGCTGTCTTTACCTTTTTTTTTCTCCTGATGATGTATCTGATTTTGCAGTGTGTGTCTCATTTTTTCTTTGTTTCCCCCTCCTCATTTTCAACATTGCACATTTGACAGCAGTTTTAAAATACAGGCCCAGAGCCTGTTCACTTTGAGCTTATTTTCAGATTAAACACAATGAGAAAAAAATCCACCAAATTTATGAACTTTAACACTTGGTAGCACGTGCATAGGTTTAGGTAAATAAAATCAGGGGCAAAAACAGAAAATACCTGTTTCTCTCTCTGTCAAAGCATCAAGAGCTGATCTTCATCCTAAATGTAGGGATTTGGGGTTCAGCAGGGTATTATGGAAGGAAAAATATTAACTTAAACCACTTCTAAGTAACAAAAAACGCCTTGCTGGCTCATCAGCATTATCTCCCTTCTAGGAATGAATGACATTTACACAAGGGAAGTTTTTTGATGTACCAAATTAACTTTACAGAGATTTAACACTTATGCCGTTGCACTAAAATTTGAATCCTAGTTATTGGTATCATTCTCTTTTACTACAAACTCAATCTCTTCGGCTGAATGCTCTAGGATGACTCCTCAGAGCTCTGTATTGCCCCAAAACTTTAAGCAAAGATATTTTATTTGCACCTAGATGTCTTTCTTGCTCTTTACAAAAAACTCTGAACATCATGCCACCCACATGTGCCAGTTTCTGCAGAATTCATTCTAAATAAAAACTTTAAACTTACTAAGCAAATACAGAAAAGGATCAGCAACACAAATGGTATACATTTTGTGTGTAAATTGTAAATATTTGACTGCATATACTGGGACTGTAACTAAAACACTGAATCATAATTTTAGCCAAATTTTGCTACTGGTATTAGTTCAGTGACCTAAGAAGAACTGAAATCAATTACGTAAAGAGGGAATACAAGCATCTCTGCTGTAAGTAAAAATGTAGGAACTCAGATTTTCTATCTCTTATACTACAGCTCTATTTGGATTAAGTTGGTGTTACTGTATTCAGATATTATCAAGCCCATTCAAAATCCTTTCATGTATTACCTGGATTTAATTACTATGCTGAGGAGCAATGGAAAGTGTAAGAAAGAGCCACCTAGTTCAGATTCATCCATCTCCTGGAATTAATAGGAATCTACTTTCAGCATAGTAAAAAATGTTTCTAAGAGAAAACATTTTATGAGTTGTTGACTTACTGAAAAGTATCTGCACTGTGCTTAGTAAGTATTCTCAGTAGAATCAGGAATGCTCGTTTGTACAAAGACTAAAAATAGTAACAAACATTTAAAATGCAGGAGCCTTTAAAAAGTTCCAAGCAAAAGTACGTGACAAGAAATTTTCAGTGTCTCAAAATAAGGCTGTGATGTGTGAGTCATAGAACATTAGGGCACCTGCAGAATCCCAGTAAAAAGGCACAGTGCCTGTGACTGCTCCAGAATAAGTCAGCAGAAGGCTACTGATCCGGGAGTTTTTCTGTACAAGTCCAAATTCATGATGTTTGATTTAGAGAGATTGTATTAGCTATGTTACTAATTAACAGGTATGTAAACTACAGGCTGATAGAGTACTTCCTTAACCCCTGCATTTTCAGGTAGGTAGCTCATTCAATCCCATTGAACTGCCATAGGACTTATTTTAGAGCAGGCTTGGATAGCTAAATGAAACCAATTCTTACAAAAGGCTTGTAACTGACATTTAGCCTCCTGATGATTCAGTTACCCAAATGGAAATCTTGAGCTTCTACATAAAACATGAACATAAGAGCACACAAAGTGTTCTGAAATGCACAGATAGATGTAACAGTATTGGCTGGTAAATGTTTGGTAGCCAGGGTTTAAATGCTTCATCACAATTGAAAGGTAAGGAAACAAAGCTGGTTTAGCTACTACAAACTAAGGGAGAGCTCCACCATTGCAACAGGATCTCTTACAGCTGCCAAATGGAAGAGAGATGAAATGAAAACACAAGGAAGAAGCAGAAGCTAAGTGAAAAGACCGAGTATTTATATGACACAAATTGAGATTATAAAGCAGCTCGCTGCAGAAGCATTCAGACGGTTTTGCATTTTCTGAAACTGTTCCCCATTTTTTCAAAACACTCATTCTGAAGATGTTTTGTCACTCAGTTTCCTTCATGATGTCAATAGGAAAGGAAGGTGTATTTTACATGCAGGGATTTTATAAATAAATATATTTTTATTTGTAATTAAGCCATTCTCAATAAAGGTTTAAAGTCATAGACAACCCTGTAATATCATGTAGCAAGTGCATTTATTAACTAGCTTATGACAAAGGTTGGAAAATCTTTAAAGGACAGTATACCAATGTATTCCTACTGCATATGTTTCTAGAAAGGAACAAAAGTTTGGACTCTAGTGTAAATGACAAAAAAAAACCCACTCAAAAAGCCATTTTTCAATTATTTTACTTAACATTCCTATTACTTAGAAGCTGGTTACAGGAAATTAAAATGACATTAAACTTGTGATCCACAGTAAAGCTATCATCCAACAGTACCTTTTAATTTGTTATGTAACATTTGATTGTTCTCTCTTACTCTTTGATTATATTGGGCATAAAATAAGGCTGGACGGCTTCAGTGAGCTTCTCTGCATACATTTCATATCTACCCGTCATCTGGAAAAGAAAAATGAAAGCTTCAGTTCTTTCAGTGAACTATGAAAGTACTTCAGTAGAAAATATTTATATGCATCATTTGTTTATGACAACATATTATTTAATTGCCCTGAACAGTAAAATCATAATTCACTCAAAATGCAAGACCTCCAATGCCTGAGCACACGCTAAGACACTTGTAACTCTTGCACTTTGTTGACTAAAGCTATACTCCTACCCAAAAAAAGAGTTGAGGTGCGTTTCCAGTCTAAACAGTAAAACTTTAAAATGAACACCTCTCTGCTTTGCAGCTCTCCTTCACTGAGTCATGTCCGCTGACTAGTTCCTTAAGGCTATTTTGGTTATCCTGGATAGCTGAATGTTGAACGTGAAGGGTGGACGTGGGCATCAACAATACCTTCTTTTATGGAAGTTATGTCAACGAAGGCAAAGGATCGTCTCTGGAATTATGCCTTCCTGTTACGGCCTTGGCAACCAATGAACCCTGCTGCCAGCCGTAAACTTGGGTAACTGCCACTGACGGCATTTGGGTTGCTCTTACTTCATCCATTAATACAAAATATTATAGTTTGGGGTGATACAGTGAGCTAGGAGGCTGAAATATAGCACTTTACATAGTGCTATCAGCCGCTTCTGAAGCCCAAAGTCTACAACGTTGGCTCTGAAAGGGGCAAATTACTTCTTTCTTGCCACAGCAAAAGGAGGATAATTCATGTAACCATTTAGGTGCTCAAAGTTTAGCAAAGACATTCTGCTTAACATCCCATTTAGGCACAGCTGAATGTAAACCGCAGATACCAGAGCAGGCTAAAAAGGTTCCTTCTTGCTAGCAAGGATTTTCTGCAGTGGATAACCAATGACTTCATACTTCCTCATCTCCCTCATATCAAGAACCACCTCTGTCTTAGCCACAAATGAGAGGAAAAGGGAATACATAAGCATAAACAAAAGCCACAGGTGTGCCTCAGATGCCAAAAGACCAAAAATAGCAATCCACACCATCAACATAAAACTAAGGTGCTGAAAGTACAAGACTTAAAAGGCAAGAAAACCCAAGCAATTCTATACAAAGCAGCTAAAGGTCAGTGTTTTGCTTCTACTGTTTGTTTTTGCCTGATCGATACAATGGCTTTTGTTCAGAAATCCCAAATTAGCTTTAACTCATATAGTAAGTTAGTTTGTTAAAGCCACATGGAGAGGCTTGCAGCCATCTTAATCTGACTCAGATAAATTCAAAAGTGTGTTAGGATGCCTCAGAGATCAATGTACACAGTTCAACACATCCACAAATTCAGTGAGTTAACACTACAAGAAGTTTGCATTCAGAAATTTCTCAGAAGCTTAAAGATTCTTGTGGGTTTGGGTTTTCAGTAAATTTCACCCAAACTGACAAGTAAGGCCTATAAAAGCCTGTAAGAATATAAAGAACTATCATGTTTGTTGAGACCAAAGGCCCATCTCAGCTCAGTGACAAACACTTGTGCACCTTGCACAAGGAAACGGTGCGCACTTCCCCTAGCTCCTCAGAGCTCCTGGCAACCTGCACTCGAGGACCAAAGGCTACGCTTTTCATTCAAAAGCTACTGGCCTAGTTTCCTTGAATTTGGCTACTTGTTTTCAGAATCCATTTACGCCTCTGGCCTTTAGAACATCCTGTTAAATTAGTTCAATGACTTAAGCTCTATTAAAAAAAAAAGGCTGCATTTTAACTATTACAAGAACATTATGAAAGCTTGTTTGTTCTAATATCATATGTAAATTTGTTTCTTTACAAGCATGCTTACCTTAAAATTCCATTTGTCACTGACTTGCCTGCAAAGATTTAGATCCATCTCTGCCACCAGAAGTCCATCCTGAGTGCGAGAGAGTCCTGGGGTCCTGCTGCCATCTGGTGCAGCTACGTAACTTGAGCCATAAAAATGGCCCAAGTCATGGTGTGCTTAAAGAAATTTTTTAAAAGCATGTAATGCCATCTGGAAATAAGTATACACCTTGACATGCAATGTCCCATATAAAACCTGGCTCAGTTTCTTGTAGTTGCTCACCCACCGCACTTTACACAAGGTTCACCTTGAAGAGTCACAGCAGAATCCTAAGGCAACTGTAGTTCTGACCTGTAGTTACTTTCATGCATGGTATATCTTTCACATATACTGAATTAATATGAAAAAACTCACTGCATTGCCTTTTAAATATTGTATGATGATGATTTCCCATTGTTAAGCCTCTGAACCAAAGTAAAGGCTTTGCTTTCATTGTTTTTTATTTAGAATTTAAGTCAATTCTAATTTTCAAATCATATATTTCCAAAACAGCTGACAGAGATGCACCCATTCAGTTTTCAGAGGTAAAACCACTGGGATTTAAGGCACAGAAAAAAAGTATCTTATTTCATATTGCACGACTCAAGTTGTGCCAAAAATCAGCCATGTCTGTTGTACTACTAAGCAATGGATACCATTGACCTTTTTTATGCAGCTGCTACAAACACTTAGCTCCAAAACTAGCTAAAAATGGCTCAGGCCCATTCCAGATGAAGCCAGAAGAAGTCACGGTTGTCACACGGCAAATTAAAAGCGTTTCAACACGAAGTGAAGCGCACACAAGCAAATCTTCACACTCTTCTTTGAGCATTCTTGTCTTACTTACAGCTAATCTGTCAAACAGGGCAAAACGGCTTGGCAGGGGATTCAGGCTCGGGCTACCTATTACTGTGAATAATCTTAAAACTACATATGTCATGAATGCACTGACAACAGCCTAATTTGTGAGATTTCTGTCTCCCAGTCCTACAACACTGCAGTGACTCCAGAACATAGTCCTCTGAAAGTACAGATAAACCTTAGGTATGAACTTCTAGTGACCACATATCCTGGGTAGCACCACCTTTAACAGGAAGTGATGCTGCTTTCCACCGTACAAAACAGCAGTCTTAGGTAAAGCAGGCGTTAGCTGGGATAGACACTTGCAGGAGAGCTATTGTTTCCTCAGACTTCCCAGTTATTAGCAACCACTCAGCATGATTTCTGAACATACCTTTTCCACCATCTCCAGAAGTAAAGGCATTTTTGTAGTATTCCTGTGAAATAAAAGGCAGCCGTAGGTGGCAGTATAATTCTACTTAATTCAAGAAATCTTTGCTAGTCTACCATATTTAGCATGAAAATTTATATTTTTTTTTCTTTGCTGGCATATCATCAACACTGTCTAAAGGGAGTCATCAGACTTTCTATCATGGATAGGCCAGAAAACAAGATCTTCTCTTATCAGTGCCCATTGTTCACACACTTTAGGGAACACGCCCTGTATCAGTCTAAAGAGGCAAAACAAGAGACATTTAACCAAATGCATCTTTGCAGATCACAAAAAACAAATGTAGTCACGTAACAGCAAGAACAAGTCTCGATTTTTTGCAGGGAACCTTATAAAAGAACACACACATAGTGTATTTGGACTAATCTGAAGTCAAGAACAATTGTGTGCATTTCTTTGACAACATTTCAGTGTCCAGAAAAAGGTAGTATCTGTACAACAGCAACCAGTTGTGTACCACTGACTTAAGGTTCTTTTAAATTTTCAGTTATTTTGGCTAAAAGAATACTGATTTCATCATAGAAACTAGGGTGGGTGCCTGTTACAAAGACAGCAATTCAAGAACAGGAAGCAGCTGCAACCAAAAAGTAGGTTGCAAGCAATGAGGCAGCTCAAGCTCCTTATCACTGTCCACCTTCAAATCATATTATAACCACCAATACAGCCGTTATACAGCAGATGAACCTACGCATTCTAGTGCTCTTCAGTTCTTTACATCAAATGCACTCACGCTACAGTACCTAAATGAGAAAATGAAGTAAGGAAGTTACGACACATACCGTTCCTACCCTGTTGATGGGACATGTAAAGCAGTGGTTAGCGATGGCAGCATTTCTTGCTTCAATCGGCCACAGTGATTCGCTGCAACACACAAATGAGGCGGCAGGTACTCACTGCTTGTCTACTTCGGAGCTCAATTGACATTATGACTGCCTGGTATTGTACATTTTCTATCAAAGAAGCCAAAGTTAGCTGCTAAGACTGACCTTGATCTTACAATCAAAATCTCCCCACAGATACAGCCAAGCACGACAATTATTGTCCACTTAAATATAGGTATAAACAATTCTATCTGATAAACTGGTAAACATGCTTTTGTTGTGGTGAAAAAAAAAAAGACACACTGAGATTTTTAAAGCGATTAAAGTGTAAAATGTTTTACTCTCCAAATTATGCAAAGGATTTACACATGTGCTTTCACATTCCATTAACGTTCAATATGCCAAAAGTCATTCTGCAGCAAAGCTGTGAGAATTTATGCAAGTTGCCTCCTTTTTTCCCAAGGTCAAGGAGAGGCCTTTGCAGCAGCAAATAAATAAAAAAAACCCAACCCAAACCACAATTATGGGAATAATGAAAAAATGAAAGGAAAAGAAAAATCCATTTCCACTGAAATTTCCTACTTTCTTTATTTTGACCACAGTTTTCACAGCACTTTCCAGTAAGTTATTTTCTCATGGTGGCTTGATGAAAAAGCAAGCATGCTTAAGAAAAAGCAGGCTTAACAAACGCATCTCAATAAATTCACAGTAATGATCTATTAAACCAGCCACTAAATTTACATGAAATCAAGAGCTGAGAAATTAGGAATTAAAATTCCTTCTCTTTTACAAGCCTCTACCTCTTTTCCAGAGGAGATTTTATTTCAGACTGATGTTTAAAACTAAAATAGTCTTCTTTGTATTGAACAGTTTGATACATGGGATTGGAGTATTTAATGGGAGGTTTGGAAGTATTCAGAGCTCCAAAACAAAGGTACACTCCTGTGACAGCATGTATATGCCAGATGCTGAGTACCAAGTCACGTTTGCAAGCAGTTGCCCCATTAATCTCTCAGTCAGACTCAAGAATTTTAAGAGATGGTCACTGGAGTGATTGAAAGGACTTGGTTTATTACTTCTTTTCTCAATTGCTTTGAGTCCATCAGCCAGCTCTTCTAAAAAAAAGGGAAATTTATTGAAAAGCTCAAGCAAATTACAATTTCACAGGAGAGACAGGAAAATAAGGCTATAGCCAAGAATCAACCCCAGAGACAGTTTTTACATAAGCCTCAAGAGTCCTCTTCCTGCAATAAAAATTATACGCTTAAAAACAACCAAGTGAAAGGCAGTAATTATAAAAGCCTGAAGCATCCAGAACACCAATGAAGCGCTGTTTGACAATGCGGTAATTTCTGTTTCGTCTCCTGTTAATGGGCTGTAAGAGGACAACCATCACAGATATTATTTTAGTAGCAACATAAATGACCAGGAATCATTGTGTATTCATTCAACTCTTTAAAAAGTACATCTTCCAACACTACTCAACCTAAACTATCTTTTAGACTAAAAACTATTAAAGGCAGTTTGAAAGGCATCATCCATCCAACCGATGGATCTACTCTCCAGGTGTGCAAATACAGGGTTCTCTGCATCTGACATGGCTGTGGGTAGGAAAATTCGATGCCTCTCATCTTGTTTTCACCACTTCTACCCTATTTTGAATGCTCAATGTCCTCAGAATTTTCTAGCTGGTCAGCAACAAAAAATGGCTGAATATTCTCGGACGTTGTTACTGAGACAGAAAAATCTCCAAATTTATATTAAATAGGCAAAGGGAAGGGATTAAGATATCCTGAAGACAAGGAAAATGCTAAAAAAAGATATTACTCTTGTATTTCTAACTCTTTTATCATCCTGTATAACCAGTTACCAAGTCTATATTCCCTAAACATTCCATATATTAAGGTTTACAAAACTGACACTGGAAGAATCTCTTCCTCTAGGTTTAAAGAAATAAAAATTAAAATATTCTGCAACTAGTCTTCTCTCTCCCTCCAGCTGGGCACACAAGCCCAGCTGAAAGGAGAGAGAAGAGAAATGAGAAAGAATTTTTAGTATTATAAGAGATCAGTATGTCTTCTTTTTTTGTTTGCTACTGGTTATTATTCTCATATTACAATATCATGAGTATCAATGAAATATGCTCATTTTACATCTTCCTAAAACTTATCTTTGGAGTTAGAAACTCAAAGAAAATTCAGCTAGTGCAAAATACGTTTGTTTTTTCTTACTCACAAATGAAATGTTTTTGTTCCAAAAAACTCTGCAAAGTCAGACTTTCCCTCCTGCCCCATACAAAGGTAACTACTTACAAAATATTAGTATTTGTAAATAAGGACAAACTGCTATGACTTCCTCAGCCATAGGTATGAAAACATTACACAATAGGAAATTACTTTTCAGAGCCTACTGTAACCAAGGGGAGAAAAAGAATAAAAAATTAAAAAAGGAAAAGCACAGCTGTTCTATCATGTGTTAAAGCAGCTGTGCAGACTCATTCTAGAAAGCCACACTTCACAGTCGAATTTGGAATTTGAAGGTATTGAGCAGTGTGGCAAAGAACAGAATACAATGAGACTGAAAGAACGGCTTGGTGATCTTGTCCAGAGCGGCACAAAGAACCACTGAAACCATTTCTACAGTGGTTCTATGTAAAGAAAGCCCCACCACCACCCTGACCCTAAAGAAATGCTGCTATTTTCCATCACATGATAGTACCCCAAGCAATACACAGCCTGTGTCAGACAAGGCTTTGGGAGCATGGTGTGTTTAAAGGTTATTATACTGAAATGTGACTGATGCTAATAATGTAGAGGCAAAGAACATTCAAGATCTAATCCACAAATTAATCATTATGGGCTAGCTAAGAAGTGTATTTTCCTAACTCGCTGAGCTGAATTTCCTTTTTTTTTTTTTTAGGAAATCAAGTCAGTAGGGCTGCAATTACTGTCAATCTGCAGAAGATTAATCTCAAGGGAAACAGTTTACACTGGTTCAGCCTGGTTCAAGCCTGATAATCACAAAATTGCCAACAGTTTAAAAAAACCCTTTTCTGAGAAAAAGGTTTCTCAGCTTGGCTCTGAAAAGTGCAATTTGATACCATACTTATTGGCTCCTAGGTGGACAATGGAAGCTGGCAAGCTAAGCCATGTAAATTACTACTGCCTATCATAAAGCAAAAATATTACCTATATTATCTAAATAAGTGTCAGTAGCTTTCAGAACATCAGCTGGACACTGGTTAACCCTGTCTCAGAGACAAAACACCTCTAGATTTAAAACTGAAGTTCTGGCAGATAATTAGTGACTATGAGCAGACTGGTAGCCCAAAACTTCAGATGGAGAATGAGGATTCCTTCGTAAAGGCAAAATAAGGTGACACCTCATGTTCCAAGTGCTCAGCAAGGTGCCTCCGAGATCCTAGTGAGGGGCTCAGAGGTGCAGTAAACCCAGAAAGCATGCTTAAATCAGTTTGTGTTTTACCTGAGTGTTCCAATAGTGGCTGAAGGGTTAAAGATTATCTCTGCTCCATTTATACTAAACATGAGCCAGTTCAGAGGGTGATGGCGCCCATAGCAGATATTCACAGCAATTGTTCCAAACTGTGTCTGAAACACCGGGTGTCCTGTATTTCCTTCCATATAGTAAGCAGACTACAAAAAAACAAAGAAAACAAATAAAGCCCCACAAATGCAGACTTGTTTAAAAAGTGAAAAGAAATACCTCCAACATGGGTTTGATAATTCTGAATTTCTGATTATCAGCTTGAGGTTATTACACCACGAGCGAGGATGACACCTTTCATTTCGTACAAAGCTGCACTGTAACGGGTATATAGCAAAAAGCTGCTCTCTTAGACTGCTGAGATCAAATTAAAGCTCCTTTGTTTCCCTTCACTCGCACTATATCTAAGCACCAACTTTGACATAAACACTAGAAACTTCTACAGGAGCTTAGAAGAGATCCAGAAATCAGCAAAATTTAGGCACCTCTTAGTACTTTTACCACATCAGGAAATTTTCCTAAGTAATCACAATCCTTTGATTCAGATTAAAGAAAGAGATGATGAACACTGTTTAAAGAATATGGAATTCCTTTGCATTCACCTGTTATATACTGGCATGCAGTAATTTTATGAATGCTATAAGGAAATATCAGTGTATAGCTAAGATTGGTTATTTAAATTTCTTATATGTCTATTGCTCCAAACAAGCTGAAGACTTGAAACTACCACCAGGAAAATCACAGGATAAATCTAGAGAACACTCCTTAAAGAAACTAGAGCCAAGTGCTGGCTTCAAAGATCCAATTTACCATTTGCTACGAACTTTTATCATATGAAACATTTCTCAGCAAGTAGAAATGCATTGGTTCCTGTAAAAGTCACTGGCGAAAGGAAGGACACGGCATTGTTAACAGCTGTCAATAGAGACAAACATTTACAGAGATATTCTAAACGAAATGTACAGAAATGGTTTTTCCCAGGAAAAAGAAAATGGTATGTGTGGAGTCGCTGACAGTTGCCTGACCAGTGGAGGTCAAAAACCAAAGAAAATCTGACATGAACAGGAAGGGTATCAGAATGTAAGAGAAAAATTCCAGTGTATGCATCTCAATTAGGATATACTAGAGGTGAAATAAGCAACGACAACTGAAACAATGAACGAGCTGGGGCAGCTCCCTTGTGAGGAGCAATTAAAAAGGCTCTCCCATCTGCAGACAGAAGGCTGAGGGCAATACTGTGAATGAGATTTACAAGATCACAAAGGCAGTGGACAAAACGAATACAGAACTCCCGAAAGCAGCAGCTGTAGTGAGTATTGACGGAAATTACACTCCCGTACCTGTTTACAACAAAAGGAACTTTCTTCATGCAGCAGGCAGTGCACTTGTGCAATTTGCTTCTTTGTGAAAGCAGGTATTACCACCAGGTTCGGAAGGGATTACAAAAGTCATTGATAAAAGGACCACAGGTAAGAAAAGAAATAAGACAGGAACAACCCTAACAGAATGACTGTGGACACTGAGGGAGTACAAAAGTTGCGGTGGCCAGACTTATTCCAAATAGTACCTTTTTGTGATGATCTTGGAGACAGAAAAGCAAGGTACGTAATCCACAAGCCTGACCCAGTGGGGCATGTCCCTTCCCATACACGAAAGGTGTGTTGTAAAACAACTCCCTTGTCACTGAAACTATCCATCCATTGTAACAACCACTGCCACTGGCCTTGAAGGAAGTAGAATCACGTGAAATTAAAGCAAGCACAGTTACAGCTAGGGGACAAACTTGGGCCTCACATTAACTGTAAGAGAACGGCATGACACATACAGGGGGATCATCTTCTGAAACCAAGAAGGATTAGAGGTTCCATATGCCCAGTAAAAGTGAAACATCTCATGTTTCTTATTTATTATCAGGTCTCACGAAACTGCACAGTCCCTTAGGCACAGATTTTATCTCCTCTTATGTCTGTGGTAGGCACTCACACAATCCTTTCTGAAAACAATTCCACTGATTGAATATATTTCCATTTTTTCTTCTATTCTCAGTTTTCTTTTATTACAATAGGAGAAGAAAGACAAGAATGCTGTTGCTTCAGGGAATTCATCAGTTCTTATTTCTTTATTCCTCACCAGAGGTCACAATCATCTCCACAGCAACTGTGATGTCTCAAGAAGGATTGATTTTTGTTTATTTATATTCCCTCCCACACATGGCTGAATAGGTTACAGACCAATCTCTTTCCCCTTTCCATTCAGTTCTCACTGGTTCAATAAGGATGATTTCAACAATCCCTATCTGCTCTACAGAGACAATCCACAAAAAATAATTTCAATTTCAGTGCTTCTTTGGAAGTTAACTCAGTTGATAAAGAAAACATTAAAGTAATAGAGATGAGCATCCCTGTAGTCTTGGTGATTTCCAGAGTTCCTCTACCAGAACTGCTCAGCTCAGAACAAACTTAATGCTTTGCTAACAAAACTAGCTAAAAAGACAGTGCTGGTTTTGGGTAGACACTACTTGTTTCTATAATGAGGTAGATACAACAAGAAATGGCAAATCACTATAGTATACCTGCAAGATATAAACATTGTTTTGCGGTAATTCTGGCTGTTATGATAAAAAATAACTCCTTTTAGGAATTAGGCAAAACTTTCAATGAAACTCTATTTATACTTCACATGGAAAAGTAAAAATATTTTCTTTGTTTAGGTGTCTTTCATTACAGTTCCATAGCTGGAAACAACCCATGTCTTGGAATCTGTTAATGTTCCACAAAACACTGGAAAACCAAAAGACATCATATTTTAGCACAAGCAACAGGAATGTATTTTTTTTTCATTACACAATGAACAAATCAAGAACATGGGTGGAAGTCAAAATTCATTTCAGTGCTTGTATTTTATATGGGCTAGTTACTGCTATGCTAGCTAAAAGACGGATCCGATAAAATAATACTAAATAGGAAAATAATTGTTAAAGACAGAAGTCAACACTGGTGACTGACAGGCCTGTGCCAGAAATCCATTGTGTAGAAACCTATTAACAGCCTCCTCTGAAGTAACACAACCCAGTCTGATCAGGTCTGGGAGCCCAGGTCAAAACTTCCAGATGTCTTTGAACACAAAAGTTTCAAGATATGAAAAAGCATCTGAAATTAACAAAAAAAGCAGTTTGGATTCTGAAGCCTCAGTTTAGTGACTGGCACATTTGAACAGGGAACAAAAGCAACCGCAGGTATGTAGCAGCCCCCAGTGCTTGGGAGAAACGCCTCTCTGTTAATTACTCACTTTAGCTGACAAGGAGAGTTAGGTAAGACAACGTATTTTTAGACTTTGGTTAATTTTTAATCCTGATCTTTCTGCTTGTGATAATTCTGTGGATGGATAAACACATCTACCAGTTTTCTTCTGATGTTGCCTTTGCCTTTACTACCAGTTTAGTTTCCAAAGCTGATTCTGGAGGACAATCTAAAAACTGTCGAGGGCTTCCGTGGAAGTAATGTGATTAGTAAACAGAAGATGCTGTAAACCAGCTATTCAGTCAGAAGCATTACACTTCCTGTCAATGCAACTCTGATACAACACCTGCTGATGTGAACAAAAGCTGCAAGACAAGTCTAGCTTAATAATCACAACACTGCATCTTACCTCATTGAAATCTCCAACTCTTGGAATGTGATTTTTCCTACTTTTGCCAAGGACAGCTCCAGAATTAGAAATGACCACTGCAGCATTCCACAGAGTTCCCCCATGTATTTCATCTCGCTCCAGGATTGGAGATACCACAACCATATTGTATTTCTTTGCCAGCTATACAAAGGAACACATTTCTTCTATTATATACAAGCCTGCAGTAATTATTTTCACTTTTTTGTTCATAAAGAAAGATTTTAAAAAGTTTTCATCTGGTATGTGACTCTGGTTGTTATCAAGGGCTAATGCTTAAGCCACACTGGCATGTCCATGTTTCTTCATCAAAGATGGGTACCTCACCCAGCTTTCCACTTGAATCTGTCAACTGGAAATACAAGGTGCCAACAGCAAAAAGCATCCTAACAGCAACAGTCAAACTATGAATTGGACCTCTATCTATTTGCAGGTATAAGAGGAGATAGATCCCATCCCACTCTTCCATGCCAGAATGAAAGACACCACAACTAGATGAAAATAATTATGGAAAAAAAAAAAAAAAAGAAAAGAAAAAAAGGAAAGCATTATATGTTAACTACAAATGTCAAATAACACAGGTGTGAGTGAGAAATACAGCGACTTCTGACTGCCAGTTTACTAGCATATTGTCTTTTCCTTCTAACCACTTCTCGTATTTCTCCAAACTTCCATAGTGTTATTAATGCCATGGTAAGAAGCAACACGTATTTGCCTGAGATCAGACTAAAGATAATGTGCTGTCTACAAAAGCTTAATAGGCCAGTGTGTATCTCAGCAAACTTGACATCAAAACAGTCCTCTGTTGTTTCAATCCCTTTTAAAAGAACGTAATTGAAATTCCCTATTAAAAAAAGAAAAGTTTTCAGAAAACAAAAATAAACTCTGCCACCCTTGCACCAACAGTCTCTGGAAAAATAAGAGCCAGACAGTAACAAATCTCCTTGGGTCCATAAAAAGCTCCCCAATACATTTGGGTCACTTCACAGGGAGATGAAAAACATTTGTGTGGAAGCGTTTCCTGTCCAGAAAAGGTGATCTGTTCTTCTCACACCTTCATACTGTTCTAGGCAAGAAACACCTTTTAAATAGAAATTATAAATACTTTTATGAAGAATCATTTCTTTCTTGTAAAATTCAGGAACAGTTAAATGAGCAATTTCATATGTCTTCTATGGTAAAAGATAGTCTGTATGTGCAAAGTAAAAAATCTAAGTTTCATTATTTCAGTTTTCTCAGCGGTACTAGACTAGTACTTTAAAAAGAAATCCTTGCTAACCAGCAACAGTTATGGGCTGGGGTTGGAGGCTGGATGTGGAGTGGTTTGTTTTTTGCTTCGTTGGTTGGTTTTTCTACCTCTTGACAGAATTTTGTTGTTGGTCCATCCTCTGCTGACTCAGCAAATTCAGTCCAAGGAAGCTTCTCTCTTGTACAAAAAGCAAAGGGCATGGCTGGAAAACACCAACGGAAGACAAAATTTACAAGAATGTTCATGTCGCTCAAGAAATATGCACTGTTTGCATGAACACATAAAAAAATTAAACACTTTAGAATGTTTAACTGTTTTTCTTGTTTAAAGGCAAAAGCTATTTGAAATATTTTTAGCCAGGGCAAGAAGTTTTGGGTCCACACAGAGCAAGGCAGAATAGAAAGAATATACTTAGTGAAGTCTTACTGGAGGCCAACATACGACACATGCTCCAGTCACCAGTGTATACTTTCTGTGAATAACCTGTTTTCACAAACGTGTAAAGGGCCTTCATTTTGGTTTTCACCTCTATAAAGTCTCAAAGACTCAATTTTAAGTAAAATCAGATTTTTTTAAATTTCAGTATCTGTCTAAAAAGACCCCAGTCTTACGAGAAAAAAAAAAAAATGAGAAAAGGATCACAAAGGATGACACAAAGGAGCATACCTATAATATCACTGTTGCAGCAGACTTCCATGCAGTTTTGCTAACTAAGACTCTCTGTTTTTTTATTTAGAACACAGATCAGTAAAGTCAACTGGTATATCTTGGAAGATATCTGCTGTTTACTTACAAGACATACTTCTAGAACAGGATACTTGTTAAAATAGAAGGAATTTGACCTCTGACAAACTATAAGGAATCACAGAAAATACTCACTCCAAGCCTCCTGGAAACAAACTATGTTGACCCCACATATTGCAGCTACTTCCACAATCTCCTCAATTCGTCTGTGCAGTGCTGCCACCTGATTGCGAGAAGTGTCATACTATAAAAAAGTCTGTAGGTTCTAGTTCACTTACTATATTAACAGTCTGGTTTTGTAAGCTTTGTTCACATTAAATTTATCTTACTCAATACTTAGACCCATTGCTTTCAAGGGAATAACTCAAGAAGTTATCATTCCTGAGCACTGATAATAGATACAGATTTTCAAAAGCATTTAAATGCTGAAAATAGGGAAAGCAATCCAATGCAGTTCTAATTCCATGGTTACAACATTTAAATATATGCTGACTGACTCGTAAATAACAAATCTTAGTAGAATCAGAAAAAAATGATAATTTTGCTGCTCATCAGAAACAACCCATAGAACCACATTAAGTAAACGTAGATTCAAAGTCAAGTACTCAAAATATAATGTAAGGACAGTCCATTTCCTTGGTTATCTCTTAATCCTGCTCACACATGTGGATCTTGAACACTCCCTAGAAGTTATTAACTCCAAACTATTTTCTAAATCCCTCTGCCCCAAGAGCTCAGTAGATTATTACCAAGAAAAAAAAAGTCATCAAAGCATTTATTAACTAGCAAAAAATCATTTTTTCAAAGTATTTTTACTTCAATATTCTACTTCAACACAGGACTAGCAGTTTGCATTGATACTTTCAGGTGTCAATACAAAAAAAAAAGGTGCAAGACAAGTCAGCAGTGACCTACAAACTCAACAACTATAAACTGATTTACAGAAATACTTAACTAGTTGTTTATAAGGTCAATCATTAATATAACTGGTAGTCTGTTAAACACATGTTACAAACAATCCACAAACTTGATCTATACACCGAATTAACGACTTGTATCTGTGACATGTAATCTTCTGAAAAACAAATTACCTCAGAAACGTTCTGCCCTACCACTCTGCAAAACTACTACTCCAGGAAATCTTATAAATGCAGTATTTCCTTTCATTTTTTTAAAGCTACTTTTAGGAGGCTATTTCCATATATGTCACCTCAGTGCTTTTGTATCCAAGATGTGAGGAGAGGATGATCAATTTGTAATAAGATTCAGTTTACTGCTGTACAGAGAACAACAAACACAGCTTTATTAATCTATGTTAACTCCAATGGACTTTCCTAGAATGGAACATTTCTCAATCAAAACAAGAACTACACTTGTGGTTTCCATGGGTTGCACCTCTTTTGATTTTGGGTAAATGATTTTCTGTTTCATGTTAGAGGCAAAGGATTTTCATGTACAAAATGAGTGACTGCGTATTTAGCTTTGGAAAAGACCACAGACAGGTTAGGCAATTCACTAGGTAAACACAATACCCGAGATCTGTCTGAGAAACAATAAAACTGGATGTGTCATCTGGATTTTTTACAGTATGCTGTATTAAAATACTGATGAGTCCTATATCACCAGAGAATCAGTAGATATTCATAACATCAGTAGATATTCATAACATCAGTAGATGTTTCATAACATCAACCACTGAAACGTGTTACTTCTTAATCCAAACACAAGAGGAGTTACACACAAACTGGGGTGTACCTGGACTGCCACGGCCGTGTCAGTGGGAAGCGGAATTTTATTTTGTATCAGTCCTACTCGAACGACACGTGGCCTTCTCAGTTGCTCTGGAGCAGCTTCAAATCCATAGCCCTGTAGCTCAAAACCTCTTTCCTGAGCTGCTGACAGAGCAGTGGCTGGCAAATTAAGTTTTCTAGATTGAACAGGAAAACAAAGACATTTCAAGATGAGATGTTCTCCTTCCCTGCTCCAAATACAACAGCTCAAGAGATGCCAC